AAAAAACCTTCTTTAATTAGATAATTGTAACAGTTGTATTCACACCGAGTTGACAACAATAACAACAAAAATGGCGTCTGTCAAATTGGATCAACAGATCTGTGATTGGATATTAAAAACCAATTCACTTGGCAACTCCGCTCTAGACACGATCAGTTTTATTGGTCAACAGACACGCAGCCAATTTAAATTCTTGCTTTTCAAATGATTCTTTCTTCTGCAAATATAAAGAGATGATGGTATCGATTAGGCTTTATAAGTATAATATACCCCTAACTCGATCAGTCTATAAGCAAACCAGTATCATTTTCCACAGCATGTTGTTGAATGGTATTATCGTCCATGGAGATTCGGCAAAACACACTGAATGAATGACAATTAATTTGACAGATATAGCTCCAAAAAGATGGCCGTTATCAATTGTCAAAGTTCGGAAGTTTCTGTTGGAAGATTCTATAAAATATAAATTGTAGTAATTCAGCATATTCTTGATAAGATTTGACTTTCTATCTCGAAACTTGGTTGTACCTTATTAGCTTCGACAACATTTTTCAGTTACGACATCATTTCATTTCAACTGAAATTTGTTTAATTAATTTTCAATTCTTTGTTCGATTGCTGTGTAATTTGTCCGTTGGCCCAGGTACTATTTACTTATTCAAATATGAACTCTGCTTATCAGTTCTTCATTCGATAGTTTTTTAACAACAGGAAACTTTTGGAGTTCAAACGATACGTTTTGTTCCAAATGACTTGAATTTTTCTTCCTCCTAAACGTTAATACAGGGTGTAACTGAATAAGTGTAAAACATTTGAAGATATGATTCCTCATCGAAAAAAAGATAGGATCTTTCCTATAAAGAAACTTCATTGGAGCATCCCTTGTTAAGATACAGCCCCTTAAAGGGGATAGATAAAATTTGTATAACAATTTTTTCACAAGCACTAAAGAAGTTACAATATTGAAATTAACCTGACGTCTTGTACTACCAAATAGACACTTAACCAGTAATTTACTTGGTTTACCCCATGGTTTTAAGGGGTGGAAAACGCAACACCTAAAATTTATTTCCAATGTAACTTTTTGTCTTATTATTTGTTTACCATTTAAAAATTTATTTCCGATAGCCTGTTTCATTCTAAACAAAAAATGTCTCTTGGGTTTTTTGCCCAAAATAAACCAGTTCGCAGCAAAAAATTATTTTACGAACAACTACAGAGATACATCGTCATAAATGCGAACTGGATTTATTGTTATTTTGTAGTTAGTACCTGCATTAAACGATTAAAGGGTAATAAACAAAACTAATTTATTAATAACAAAACACACAACATGTAGAAATCATAGTAAATGTTCAATATGTCTACCTTCAGACATTACGCATGCGTCTAGACGTCGGCGCATTGAGCCACGTATTCGCTCAAATATTCCTGGAGTCTCTCTGATTACCCTGCACGCATCGATGATGCGGTTTCTTAAGTCCTCTACATCGCGAACAGGAGTGCGATAAACCAAATGCTGTAAATGGCCCCAAATAGAGAAATCGTGAGGATTGAGATCCGGGGATCGAGCGGGCCAGTTCTGTGGTCCTCCTCGACCTATCCACGGATTTGCATATGTTTCAGTTAAATGCTGACGTGCTACTTGACTGAAATGGGCAGGAGCCCCATCATGCATAAGAAACATATCCCTTCTGATGCCCAAAGGAACTTCCTCCAGCAGTACTGAATGCATTTTTCTTGAAAATTGAACGTATGCCTCACCATTCAATCGAGGAGGTAGAAAATGAGGCCCAATTAAATCATCCCCAATAACTCCGAGCCACACGTTAAGTGAAAACTGTTCTTGATGGTCAGTTGCGACAATAGCGTGAGGGTTTTCATCAGCCCATATGTGGTAATTATTAAAATTAATAATCTTGTCCCGGGAAAAACTACATTCGTCTGTGAATTCTATCGTCTTCATAAAGTCACAATTTCTTCTAATCATTTCCAGCATCCAATTGCAAAATTCAAGACGGTTAGGAAAGTACACGAAGGCAACTATTTTGGATTCGTTGAAGACGGAGGGACTCATATTGAAGTAACACAGAACCATAAATGCTATCGCAATATGAAGCTTTCGAAATAATTAGCGCCTCACATAATTATAGTTTGAGTTGTTTGGTGAGTAAGTTCCGATTTGGAAACAGTTGCCTTAAGATGTCGAAAGACATTTGAATCAAATAGCTAACATGTTTTGTAAAGCGCAGTTCAGAATCAAACCACAGGCCTAAGTTTTTTGCTTCAGTTACAAAAGGCACAACGTCACCATTTATATGAATATGACGACTATTTTTAACAATATCTCACAATCTTTCTAGTCAAAAGATCATTATTGCCGACTTTTTGAAGATTACCTTCAATTTTTGAGCTGATGAAATATCAAAAATTGTCTGTAGATCACGATTCATGAGGTTTTGAGCGGAATCAATGTCGTGTAACTGATAAGAGAATACAGTTGAGTATCATCTGCTTAATGATGAATGTTGCATTTTTCTACCGACTGATGGAAATCACGAATATATGAGCTGAATAGTAAAGGACCAAGGATGCATCCCTAAGGAACACCTTTGGTTACAGGCAGAGTCTCTGAGCTGATACCGTCTACCATAACTGTTCGAGTTCGGTTCGATAAGTAATTTCTAACCAGAGATGGCACATTCACAGAAAAACCGAAGGAGCTGAGTTTATCGCACAGGATGTCGAAGTCAAAAGTGTCGAAGGCTTTACTGTAGTCCAGGAGTACTAAACTAGTTGATTCACTGTCATCGACAGCCTTAGGTCGTCGGTGATGGAAAGTAAAGCTGTAGCAAAGTAAAGCTCAACAACTTTTGAAAGACAAGGTCAGAGAAATCTGAAGGGGAGTTGCACTTAGCTGAAGGAAAAATTATAATAATACCTTTATAATAATAATAATAAATGGCTAACCAACAGTTACCTATTTACAGGACAATATAAAATTTTATTCACAATACCTAACTATAAACGAAAAATAAAATGAACAAAAAAGAAAAACTAATTCTAATTACCTACTTCAAGTACATGTTAGCAATTCTGATAATGTTATGAAGGTTAGTGAAGAATAAATCACCATGGGCACAAATGCTATTGAAATTTGTGCACATAACATATATTGGGGAATTGAGCATAATGTTAGTTCTTGCTCTGAGAGGTCTAAAAATGGATTGAGATCGTGAAGCTGGCCGTGGTACATTNATAGTTATCATGTGCGGTTTTTATTTGGCTTTTAATCAAAGCACGCAAACGTTGGAATTCAAATCTATCCTCATCACTTCTAAATTTCCTGAATTTTTTTCTGAATTTAGCCTTCTGTTCAATGTTCTTTATGATATCAGAATGAAACCATTTAGGATAAACATGACTGAAATTTTTGAATTTGGGTACATGATCCTCAAAAATACCATATAAAATTGAATATAGGTTATCGACTAATTTATTAACGTCCTTGGACGTACCTAAATTACTCCAATCAATTTCCTCTATCTCTCTATACAAAGATGGAAAGTTCGCTTTCCTAAAGTTATATGTGATATTTGATTGGTTCAACTTGAAATTCTTTTCTTTGATGTGTATACCTATCAGCTATTTTGATACTTAATTCAGGATGGTGGTTATCTTCAGGTACAAAAGACAAATTTTCATGGGTAACATAACAAGAAAAAGGTGAAAAAACTAGATCTAACATTCTGTTCAGGTAATTAGTAATACAGTTTGAATGTTTATACTCCAGCATGTCAAAGTAGTTGAGGGTTATACGCATTTTTGAATCATTAACATCTCTTTCGATGAACTTCGGAACATTGAAATCGCTAAAAACAATTGAATTACCCTCATATAAATAATCTAACTGTTCCAAGGCATCAAAAAAACATTCAAATTCAACTAATCCAATCGTATCAGGTATATGTATATTAGATTGAAGTAATATTTCATTGCAAAAGTTTCACTGAACAGTTTACAAAACTCCAACACGTGTTCTACTATTTAGCTTCCTCTACATGTTCATGCAGCCTCATACTGGGAGAGTTCAGTCACTATAAACACGCGTAAGGAAGCTGTTGTATACGGAATCACGTGTTGCGTTTTGTAAACTAGTCAGTGAAAATATTACAATGAAAGATTACGTAGGTTGAAAAGGAACGTTCTGTAAATGCATTCAGATGTGGTTTGTACAAAAAATGTGCGTACAACCCAATTATATACTATGTTTTGGAGTGAAGCAGCCGATTCTTCACACAAGCTGTACTAGCTTTTCCTTGCGGAGATTGTGAACAGTTTATAATCAAAGGAAACAATTTCTTTTCCATTCCGCTGTTGAATATGTACTTTTTCTCCTTTTCTTGTCAACTCCCTGAATATTTGCTTGAAGTATTCCAATTTATGGTCTGGGATGGTTGGCAACACAACGCTGACTGATAAAACAAATTCTGAAACAAATAATCATATTTTCATTTTCAAAATTACGGTAAAGAACATCTCATAAACCTCCCAGTAGATTTATTTGAATTATTGGCGTTTTCATTGATATTTTTTCTGATCAAAAGTGGCCCATAAGCACGATATTCAAAAACGGTTTGAAGAAAGCGATGATTGAGAATAATGCAAACTGAACCTTTTATTTCTATTGATCAGTTGATTCTGTTCCAAACTACTGTGAATTTTTGATAAATGTAAACTCAAATACTGTTTTCAGTTTTCAGTAATTCAGTAACATTTATTCAAATAAAATATTTCACAAGTAAAGCTGCGGAAAATACGTTGAATAATGTCAAATCATCAGGTCTGTATTTGAAATTGTCATTTGTCCAATTTTCAAACGCTTTCGGCACAAAGTATGAATGGATTTTCACTTATTAAACCAGGGCTTTTCAAAATATATAAATCTGAATTATCCTCCAAATTTTCTATTTTTCAAAAACCTGAAAACTACCAGTAGATATTGATCAATATTTTACGTCCTTACTTATTTCATTATCGAATATCGGCTATATATCATTAGGAAATATAATTGGACTAAGTCACGTGTGATATAGCTGATATGATTCAAATCTAGACTGCAATGAGAAACTTCAACATAATTCACCAACTTTTGATCTTTCACCGTACATCTTATCAACTTCGATGGATACTTACTGTCAAACTCTTCGTCTTCAAATTCATACACACCATTGTCTTCAAAAAATTCGTAATTTCGAAAACCCGTTTCATACAAATTCCTTTCCCATTCTTGTCGAGGGTTAGGACTGTAATAATAAGGAGAAATCGAGTTTTCTAATCCGAAATTCTTCCATTCAGGAATTTTCAGCATCTTATCCATTGGTTCATCTATAGTAGTGTGCTCCAAAATGTTCAGGAATACCTCGGCAAAAACTGTCTATCGTCACGACTATAATAAAAGATTTTCGTCCTTGGTACAGTGTCATTGTCAAAGTATGCACTATACGGGAAACTTATTTATTAAGGGTTTTTCGACAAAAAGTTATTCTTGATAAAAGTTCGTGCATCCCCTAAAACTGAACATGCACCAACAAAATACAGTACAACACACGTAATATACGAGTGTTATATACGAGTAAGTAACTATGTTCGGAAATGGAATGTGTCCGATGAGGAAAGTTGTTCAGACCATCGACACATAATTACCCACATTATTCAATATTTTTGGTTTTGTTTTAGGGGATGCACAAACTTTTATCAGGAATAACTTTTTGTCGAAAAACCCTTAATAAATAAGTTTACCGTATGGTGCATACTTTGGGGATGACACTGTACATAAATTACTATTTTAGTGTGTCCCGCATATGGGATCAGATATTGTTTTCGCGACGAAAAATCTCATATATCAGTATTTCTCATATTACTCACGTCTTGTGTTCGTAGATCTGTTGCTGGAAAAATTCTCACTTTTTTACTTTTTAGTAAATGTTCAAGAGATAGCAAAAACGTATGTGATTTTCTGAAACTTCAACTAGCGTTTCCTAGTATGACTGAAACCAGTTCGTACAAAGCTCATTGTTAAATCAATGTTTAACGGGTGATGATTTACTGTTTTTCAAACATGCGCCAAACAAACTGACCATTCATTATAAGAAAACAAGTATAGCTGAGGCACCAGTCAATGTAATAATAACACTGAAGATATTCAAACATGACTCAACCTCTTACGAAGGTTCGAAATAGATGAATACTTCAATCTAGCAGATCACTATTATGATCTTCATGCAGTCATTGTTCACTGTGGTTCTGAAGTCGCCCCAATGAAGTCGCCCCGAAATGCCAATTAATTTCTGTTTCATGATTTCATGATATGTATTACTTTCTTCTTTAATATATTACTCACGTATTATTGATATATTCAGTTATGCCAATAATAGATTTCAACCTTTCAAACTACTTGGCGTCAACTGTAACTGAAACACTAACAGAACTAACATTTATTGAAATATAATGAAATATCTTTTATATTTTCCTAGCAGTGGCCACAAACATTGTGTAATTGGTGAAAAATATCTTCCTGTCGTCTCGAATTTGAACGTAGTTGTATATACCATTCTTGGTTGAATCTAAGTAAATTTTCCAGAATCTCTTTCGTTTATTTTCTGGTATGCTCGGCATAATGGTACAGGTAGAATGAAATAAATCTGGAAAATACGATTGTTGTGGAGTTGTTGGATAAATTATCATGAGAAATCCATGAATACAATGATTAGAATAATTTTATAAGTTTGAGAAGTTAGTATCGTTCAACTATATATAGTTTCTAAAGGGTTGTAATTTTTTGGAAAAAAAGGTTTTGGTTTTCTACTTTTCCATCTTCATACAAGAAAATCTAGGAATTTCACGAAGAAAGGAGAGAAACAATCAATTTCAAAAAGGTAACTCTATATAAAGATAATGTAGATCATGCAAAGAGTAATTTTCAGAAATAAACTGAACGGAAAGCCCTCCCAAAACAGCTGCTTCCATATAAACATTGAATTACTCGGAATAAAAATACTTTCCAAACAGATAATTTTATATGAGAGCGTGCAGGGGAACTTTCTAAAATACCTATGTCTAAAAGTTGATGGACAACACCCAACAAGATGTATCGATCATAACATTTTGTTGACATGATTTGATATGACATCTTTGGAAAATAGGAGAGTTATCTTTGGTATACAATTCCTGCATTAATCACTAAACAACAATATTGACAGTACAATCTGAAATTCTATTGCGAAGCATCACTCACAAATGTTATGCTACGTTCACCATTGAATTCAATATGTAGTAGCTTGAACAAAATCTGTGAACATTGCTATATTCATTTCGACTCTCTGAACGCCTTGGTATCATGTATCCACAATTACTTTCAATAATACTATACTATAAATAACATTTGTGTCAATACCCAACCAACAAAGTTGTTTTATATTTCCATGGTGTTGCAACAGTTTTATTTCATTAGTATTTTATAATTACTTCCAAAATGCTAATTGATTATATTAGACGATCGGTGAACACAATACAGTTGTAGGCAATAAAAGTGTTTTATAAATTTGTCATAGAAACGTTCATGAAATAAAATTAAAAAACCATNCAGTTTTATAAACACATTGAAAACATTTATGGGAGAAATGTAGTTTTATAATTTGTTTCTCCGAAACGTTTCCGCAACTATTATAAAATACGAAATTGCTAGTTGCTACATTGCATGATTGGTATCTTTTTGTGTTATATACTCGATTTTTATTCTTCTTTTGAAATTCTACGTATACGAATATTTTATATATACTTTGTTTTATCATTTACTTTTATACATTCCTATATTCCATCATATTCAATATTTATTTCATATATACTCTGTAATAATAGCATTTCCCGTAAGTGGGTACTCCTGTTGGAAATGAATCGCTTTTTTTTATGACTCGACTTGGGTTACGTTGATGAAAGTACAGTGATCCAAATGGCACATATTTCCAATGAATTGAATAAGTATTCACTGAAATATTACAGTATAGAGTAGGCTGATAAATACGGACACAACTCAATGATGTGTTTCATGAAAAGCCGAAATGTTCAAAACAAATTATGTGGTATCATTTTATGCAAGAGCTACACTGAAATATTTGAGTGCTCAGTTGATAAATTGAAAAGTAAATACATACTATCGTACTCATTCTCATCAACATGTTCATATATACCAGAATCTTCGAATAATTCATATACTTGGAAACCAGCTTTAACCAAATCCCTTTCCCATTCTTCACGAGGACTGGGGCTATAATAATACGGCGACATGAAATTTTCTGGGTTATATTGTTTCCATTCTGGATGTTTGCTTAATCTGTCCAGAGCTACGTCGAAAGGAATATATTTGAAAAATGTTAGGAATATTGTACCGTCTTCTTTCAGTATGTTCAACAAATTTTTGAAAGCCTGTCTGAAATAAAATATTGGAAATCGATCAGCAGGTAACTGATTACTACGGAATGTACAGTAAGCGACGAAAATGAAATGCTTCCAAAGTGTTCAGTATATCTATCAAATCTAAAATGGAATTTTCACTCTTACAATATTAATTACAACTTTCTTCAATTGAAATGGACCATCTTGTATACTATTGCAATCTTCATTATTCTCTTCAATGCATTGAAGCGATAACAAAGTTCAAGGCAATGAATCTGTCGCATAATTTTACAGCGATTGAATATACTATAGTCCGTTCATAATTTGTCGATAGCACAAAATGAGGGCCCAAGTCATAAAACGGTCGTAAAACTCGTAAAATCATAGGCGGAGGTTCCTGAGGTGTTTATTCATTAAATATAAAGCTTCAGTTTATATTCGAAACTTGCCTTGAAAGGGTGAAGTTGTTACGAACGAAAATAATTTTTGGTTTAGTACATTTTTTAATCGCATTTA